TGAAAATAATAAAACAAGGCTGCGCCAGTCAAAAAAAAAAATAAAATAAAATAAAAGTAAAATTTTATATACTAAATATATTTTTTTTTTAATCTGCAATCATACCATAATGGCTTGTTTTTATTGAAAAATTAAAGTAAATCTATAATAATTTACAGACTTCACAAAGTAACTAACTCGTCTTTATACATAAGTACTCTAAGTCAGATTTTGGGACAATATTATACTTCCCTGATAGATAGTATTAATTTCTATCTATCAGAATTATTGTCAATAATTTGTCATTGTTAATTGTCCAAGAACTAATGAATTGCTAAGTTAAAAAAGAAGAAAAGAAAAATTATTAAAAAAGGAAACAATTCAAGATTCATTAAAAAATCCAAAAATAAAAGCAATTTCTTTTCAAAAGAGATTTGCCTAATTGGAATAGTCTTTTTGCTTTACTTAAACCTCAGAAGAAATCTTCTTTTTCACCACCAGTGGTATCAGATGAGTCAATCTAACTGGTTCTTTATTTACAATAAGTAAGCATCAGATTGGAATATTTTGAGAAAAGCATTTGGACTCTGCTTTTTTTCATTAAAACTTTGGTATTACTTAAGGAACTTTAGTAAGAAATAGGAGTTTGTAATTTATATTACCTATTGCTTGATCTTTTGATGTTATGAAAGTTTTCATTAAGGAACTTGAGTTTTTGGGAGCAAATATTTTTGAAACCTTCTTTATAATTATCAATGATATTATTGGAATATGTGAATATAATCAATATGAGTTTGTTTATATTTTAAAAATTAATATGTTTTATATTAATCAATCACTTTTGGTGAGAACTTGTGCTATCTAAAATTCAAGATCAAATTGAGATAAACAAAATTTCCTAGAAAATCATGAAAGTGATAGCTCTAAGAGGATCAAAATAGTCAAAAAGGGAGAAAATTTTATATATTAAATACTTTTTTTTTTTTAAACCCTCTGTCAGACTAGTTATGTGTACTTTATTAAACAATTGTAAGCTGTACATATAGTATGAATCACTAAAGCAAAAACTTTAACTAGCTCACTCGTCTTAGTAATTACTCTAAGTGCAACTTTGGAAGTAATTTTTCGCTCCATTAAAAGTTCAGGTGAAGATCCTTCCAACTTTTAATATCATTGCCTGCAGGTCACTACTGCAGATCACTCTTTGCATTTCTGACAGAACTCAAAACCCAACCATTTTATTCTGAATCTAACTCCTTTTAATAAGATATCTGTGAGACCTTAATCTTCTAATCTTCTTTCTTCTATTAATAGATTATTTCTTCTTTCTGATAATGCAGTTTTAGGTTTTGGACTAGGAAGGCTTGGAGATCTTTTCATCTTATCATTTCTTTGGATCCCCTGTATTCTTTCCCATTCTAAGATTTTTTCGCATCTTGTATTCCAAACCTTCTTACGGAATTGGTTGTATACTGTACTCTGCACCTTCTTTATCCATTTTCTTGCTTCTTTTCCGATTCTTTTGCCATGGCATCTAAGATTCGTCATCTCGAGAACAAGGTTGCTTCTTATTAATCCTGCAAAGAAGCTTAATATATCTTATTTTATATACTAAATACTTTAGAGACCTATCATTATATATTTATATCTTTATATCTTTTAACAAGTTTTATAGCTAATAAAAATTTTTTTTCAAAAAAATATCTAAAGTCTTTAAGTTTCTATTTTAATTAATAAAGTTAAATATTATTAGTATTATTATTATTATTAAGTTATAAGTTTAAGATTCATAAATAAAAGATATAAAATAAAATCTTTTATTCTAAAAACTTAGAATAATAAATTCTTTAGATAACATATAGTTTTGATAATTAATAAATAGATTTTTTAAATAATCTAAAATTAAATAATATTTCAATCAAGTAAATTTTTAAAAGAAAATTGTTTATTTAAATAAGAATCTTTTGAAAGACTTTGAATTATTTTTTCAATTTTTTTTTTTAATATATTAATTAAATAATTTATTATTTGTTAAGATAATCTATAATAATAAATTATTATTAAAAAAACTCTTTCTATTGATTCTCTGATTATATACAAAAAAGATGACTGCAAGAAGTTTTCATACTTTTTTGCTAATAAAGTCTTAATACTTTTATTAAAACAACTTGAAGTATGACTTCAAGAGTTACTTTTACCTTTTCCTGTTTGTTTACAAACCTTTTCACTCATAAATTTGACTTCAGATGACTAAGAAAAGTCAAGCAATACCTTTGATACCAATGGTAAGAAAGTTCCCAAAGGAAGAAGAACTGACTGTGAAGTACCTAAAGGCCTATTTAACCTTTGAAGTGAGAGATATATAGAGGTTTTTGATGATAAAAGGGCTTATTTTTTTTCTTCCAGTCACTTGTGGGCCTCTTAGAGCTATCACTTTTATGTTTTCAAGGGAATTTTGCCTATCTTATTTAAAGATGGGTTCCTAAAGGGGAAGCAGAGACAAAAGTCAAATGTCCCTCATTGGAAAATATTAAAATTTTTAAATTAATAACTATAAAAAAACTATACACAATTGTTCTCTATTATCCAAATCATTGATTTATAATATTTCCTGACTTTTATCCCTATTAAAGTAAAGAGCTATTAATTTTGTTTCTCAAAAAGAGACATAAGTAATTTGCAAAATTTTATATGCTAAATACTTTAGAGATCCATTATTAACCTCAGTTTGATCCTGAGTTTTTGGTAGCACAAATCCTTACTAAAGGTAATTGACTGATATAGAACATGTTAGTTTTTGAAATATAAACAAGCTCCTATTGATTATATTCATATATTTCGATGATATCATTGGTAATTGAAAAGAAAGTTCTAGAAATGGTTGTCCCCAAAAAACTCAAGTCCTTCAATAAAAACTTCTATAATACCAAAAGACCAAGTGATAGATAATATGGATTGTAAACTCCTGTCTCTTATTTAAGTTCCTCAAATAGTGACAAAGCTTTAATAGAAAAAGCTGAGATCTAAATGTTTTCCTTGAGATATTTCAATCCGGTGCTAACTTAAATAAAAAATTAATTGAATTGACTTGTCTAATGCCGCAGGTGGTGAAAAAGAAGATTTTTTCTAAGGTTCAAATGAAGCAAGAAGACTATATCAATCAGGCAGATCCCTTTTGAGAAGAGGTTGTTTTTATTTTTGGATTTTTTTGGTGTGCCTTGAATTGTTTCCTTCCCTAATCATTTTTTTCCTTTTCCCTTTTTAATTTAATAATTTATTGATTTTCGGGCAATTAACAGTGACAAACTGTTGATAATAATTCCAATAGATAGAGGTTATTACCAATCTATTAGGAGAGTGAAATATTGTTCCCAAAATCTGACTTAGAGTACTTTTATATAAAGATGAGTTAGTCACTTTGTGAAAGTCTACAAAATATTGTAAATTTTATTTCAATTTTTTAATAAATATATACTATTGTGGCATGATTGCGAGTTAAAAAAAAAAAAAGTAATAAATTATTGCTATTGATTTTGAAAAATAAAAATTTTAATTTCAATTTATCAAGAAAATAAAATACTATTTTTTAAATCTGATTTGAAGTATCTTATTAAGATTTTATTTTATTTAATTTAATAAATTTCATATATTTTTTAAGTAATTTAGTTCTTTAATTAATAATATATAAAAATGAGTTGATCATTATTTAAAAGTTTATATAATATTTCAAATATTTGTTTGATATTTCAAATAAGAATATACCATAATAACATAATTGCAGATTAAAAAAATTTTTTTAATTAATTATATATACTGTAAATAGAAGTGCTATTTCTAATAGTTGTTTTCAAAACTTTTTATTTATGAAACTATTTTAAAACCAAATTATATCTATATCTTTTAATCAAATAAATTAAATTTGATGTAAACTAAAATCCATTAACTTTAGTATGCCGTAGTTGAACTTATTTTTTTTTTTAGCAAGAACACTCCTTACTATTAGTTATTAATTTTTTTTTATTTTATTTTGAGATTTTAGGATAGATTGACAATATCGAATCATTATTATTATAAGAAATTTACAATTATTATATGATGTTAAATGATTACCAATTTATCTAATAAAATTTCAATTTTGTGTTCAAGATAATATTTATCAACTTGAAACCACTTTTTTGTTAATATGAATAATATAATTAAATCGATTTTCATATGAATTGATTAATATTCGATTTTATTAATACTCATGAATATCACGATCGATCCTTTTATGTAAAGAATTTTTAATTTTAAAAATAAGCAAATACTGTATTTAATCACGTCCACATAATCACTAATCGATACAGATGGCAATATTTGGATCTGTAATTTAAAGTTTTTCAACGGGAATGACAAATGGCTTTCCTTTGTTTCATTTTTAAAAAAAAAAAGGTTAATATTTACAGTAATTTTACTATAGCAAAAGCAATTAATTTCAAATGCGATGAATTAATATATGATGAAATAATACAGTAAATGTTTTAAAGATCATACTGTACATTCGCTTGCGTAAAACACACTTCACTTTCAAAATCACATGAAATGTAAGAATCCGACAAATTAAGCAGCCATTAAATGCTGGATATCGTAAATAGCATTAATTCGATTGCGCAATTAATTTTACGCATATAAATTAGAACTCGAAACAAAAATTTCATCAAAACAAAAATAATCTAGACAATGATTTTAACAATTACCATTGAAATCTCAATAATGCGACAATCATTTAGATTCACCGTGACAATTTATTAATCTCCCTTGCAAAGTCGTGAAATCCTTCCATACGTGTTTCCCAAGTCATCATAATACCATACATCATACCTGTTTCATCATTAATAACGATTAATTAAACAACTGTGAAAAGCCACATTTAGAATAAATATCTTGCTCAGCCCTTCATTTCCACAATTTCCATCATTAAATTTAACACAACAACAATTTATCATCATAATCGTACTACCGACCACCCAAAGCTCCTTGACATGTCATCCTCGGGCATAACCAACCTACCTGATAATATAACTCACCGAGTCAGTGACAACCTTTTGGATCCGATTTCTATTGATCCTCCACCATCGGTTTTTGAATTTCGCGAACACACAGTTGAGCCCAAGAATGTGGACGCATCCCATGTGAAAGGTCGACCAGTACAGACCAACAAGTTTTATTCAAACATGTTGCTCGAGGGCGAAAACAATCCCATATGGCCTCTACCATATGGATTGAGGTGGGAACGAGGGAGGATAAGAGGGTTTATGGGATTGAGTGTTTCTCACGTAGACGACGATAAGAAGGTACCTTCGGGTAGAAAATAAATATGTTTGTTTCTTGTGACACGAGTATGTTTCACCGCGTTGTTCCAATCCTCGTAGGTGTTTGGTCCTGACCCCAATGCTCGACCCGTCAGATTTTATTTCAGCTCCTACATTTCCGATTTAATCTTCTCCGCCACCAAGCTCGGCAAAGATCACCAGATGACCTTGACCCAAATGTCCGAATTTCACACCAACATCAACTTATTCCCTTCCGGAGGATCAACTGACGGTCCGCACATGACCATCTTTGTCTCCCGAGGAATGTCATTTATCACCGCCGAGTACGCAAACCTCACTCCGGTGTTCAACTCGGAGTTCGATTTCAAACGAGTCGATCCGCCGCGGAAGATGACGAGCGGGTGGATTAAATATGAAATTCTACTCGAAGGGGATGTGAAGTGGTTGTTGTACGCAAGCGATGCAAGCTTAAAATTGAAGGTGCAACCAACGCATAGGCTTGAGGCCACGGGTGCGGCATATACGGGAATTGTTCAGGTCGCCAAGGTGCCAAGGGATAATCCGCATGCCGAAAAAGTATATGACGAAAATTTTGGAACGTGGCCGATGGGCGCGGACTTGGAAGTCACGGGTGATGGGTGAGCATAGATTGAGGTATGATTTGGCCTCGGATTTGAACTAACCTCATCATTCGTAAAGTGTTTACACATTCAAGTGGAAATTCGGTGGCGATCCCTCAAAATCTTTATTATTATTCTCTCTGCCGCATCATCGAGAGTCATTCTTTCCAACACCTCAGTCCACGGATCTCCAACTTTCCACCACCACGAGAGGTCTCGCAAAAGCCCATCTCGGCAACACGTGGACATTTCGCGAACCGGAGCTCCCGGACGTAGAATTTCTACCCAAAGATTTCGAAACGAAGCTGACGCCAGAGAAAACGAAAGTGATACTAGAGCAAGCCAGAAAAGATTACGCGGTTGACTTTGTGGCAGAGACTACCACCGATTCGATTTATTTTTCGGGAAAAGGGTTGGCCAAGATGGGATTGGTGTGTTTGGTGTTGAACAAGTTGCCTGGCGAGGAACAAGGATTAGGAAGGGAATGTATCATGAAGTTGAAGGTGTGCATTGTGTTAATAGCGAGTTCTTCCTATGCCCTTTCGACGCTCGACGCATCTCTGTAGTCAATTTTCCTTCTACGCAAAAAATAATAGAGAGTCATGGACATTTACGCTCAGAATTTGCAACAAGTTAGACTCACGTACGAAACCACTTGGAAAGGAGTGGTCTCCATGGATGGTTTCATCAAGGGACCGGAAACGGATTTTGGGAATACCTGGTACAAGTGAGCATCCTGAGTATCGACTATGGCGTGGCGTGTCATTCGCGCATAACTTGTATTTTTTCGTCACAATTATTAACAGTGACCATCATTATCACTACGGCTACTTGATCTTCGCCGCTTCAATCCTCTGTCACCTCGACGAATCTTGGGGCGCTGCAAACGACCCATGGATCAGTGCCCTCGTCCGCGACGTAGCGAATCCTTCGCCCGCCGATCCTCACTTTCCTGCATTTCGTGCATTCGATTGGTATGTCGGTCACTCGTGGTCCAAAGGCATATTCCCATCGATCGATGGGAAGGACGAAGAATCCACTAGTGAAGATGTAAATTTCTACTACGCCATGAAACTTTATGGATTGACATCAAAACGAGAGAAGGTGACGAATCTGGCAAACATGATGCTCGCGATATTGCGACGATCAATAAGAAACTATTTTCTGATGGAGGATGACAATCGGAACCATCCACCTCAATTTGTGAAAAACAAAGTGACGGGGATATTGTTTGAGAATAAGGTGGATTACACCACTTATTTTAGTACGAATGTTGGTGAGTGCGATGCTCTTTCTTTCTTTCTTTCTTTTTTTACTGCTACAATTTTCACATTTTCCTTTGAGGCAGAATGTATTCACGGAATACAAATGCTACCGGTGACCCCAATAACGCCGTACATACGCTCGAGAAATTTTGTGGGTGTTCATGAAATTAAAAATCATTCATTCTAGCCATTATTGTATAATTCATTGCTGCCTCTCGTTTATGTTGTTTCACGCATTCCAAATGTACAACAAAAGGTAATCCAAGAGTGGAAACAAAAACTTGCAGCAGTGACGAATTCCTTGACGGGTTCGTGGAAGAGCATTCTGTACGCTAACTACGCCCAGGTGAATGCCGAAGAGGCGTATCAATTCTTCTTGGATCATCCTGGTGCGCCGTTGGATGATGGATTGTCGAGAACGTGGGCATTGTTTTGGAGTGCGATTGGTGGTGATGAGCGTTGAGAGCTAAAGAAGGGGGAGGGGGGGTGGTTAACGCTGAATTGAATCTCCCGCGATACGGTGATAGTGATAGTTATTAGTGAGGACGTCGTAGCGTAACGTACAGTATGTATGTATACACCGTATACAGTAGTGTATGATCCATATTTCTATCGCATCACATCCCATCCCATCCATCGTTAATACCCTTTACAGCATGTAATCATTAAGACCATAAAAAAAATAGACACGCACCACGCGTAACGTGGAACAATGGTCATCGTCATAAAGTGTATGAGTGGTTGACTTTTTTTGATTTTTTTTTTTGCTGTGTTCCCAGTCGATTTCTCTCGATTTGCAAAATGATGAATGATGATGACGCCGAAGCAATCGAAGTGATACAGTTTAGTCCGTTCACGTAGATAATAAATACAATTTTATCATTCATACGTTCAGACGCAAGATCACATGGTTCAGACTTGGCGTTTTGTGACACAGTTAAGTTTCAACTCATCCCTTTTATGAGAGTCTCATACGTTACATGGCAACCTCTTCTTGGCATACATTCCGCGATGCGTAGAATAGGTCAACCTACTGTCGTATGTTTATTAAGTCTCACCTCATTCACGATTTATTATGATTCTTCTGATTTTTCACTAATTAGACTCGTCAATTGATTCCTTTTGCATTGGATGAGATGACCTCCACGCATTAGTGCGAATTAGCTGGCGCAGCATTGAGAATATGGAATTCTAGTGTAAGGGAAATAAAAAAATTTTGATTCTGATACGATAACCAAATTTGGATCCATCGGATTGCACCGGTACGTGGTACAGAAGGCAAATCAATGTATGATTTTTCTACATGGAATGTATCACTGTTGTGCATGCTATCTTAATTTACTTGTAATCAAAAATATACATACATAAATTACAGTGATATAATGAACCCGACTTTTTCAACATTTTAATTCTCTCCTCCTTACTACGCTTCTGTCTGAACTCAAAAAAAAAAAAAATTTTTTTTTTTGTACAAATTGTGCGACAAACCGGATAATACATATACACAAGTTCAAGAGTTTTGCATTAATTCTCTCGCAAGGTTGTCTTGTGTGAATTTGTGAAAGGTTGTTCAAATGTCGGCGTCCAACGAAAACAATGAATTGGAAAACTCTCTGCACGAAAAGAGCTCACCTTCATCATCCAACGAGATCACCCTTGATAATCCTTCAAATCATTTGGCGACCGATGACACGAATAATGATGGCGGGGAACCAATTTTGGAGCGATTCATTCAACTCATCGACCGCGAGAAACCATCACCATCAAATGACGATACCGAAGATGATAACGACTACTTTCTAGACGCGTCAACTGAAGATCCGTTTACCTTGGAATCCTTCGACACACTTATACAACAACACGCGGAGAAAGGAAAAGATTTTATACTGGCCAGAGTAACCACGGCCGACTCATCGGATGAATCGAAAACCTATCAATCCTACTATTCCGCGCACCACATCAACAAGGTGTTGTTCAGGACGCAACCGGATCAAGGATTGCTGCACCGAATGAAGGCAAAGAATGTAAGCATTGCTATCAATGAAGGAGTGATACTATTTCGTCATCGGAAACTCAAGTTTTTGAATAATTAATTTTTTTAAACCCTTTGTGATGATAGCCACTGAACAATATGAATATCATTGGCGACGTACATTATTATGCGGTCAAGGCGGAATCGGTCAGGTTAACGCAACAGTCATTTGCGAAATCTTCTGCAATGTCAATTTCATCGCGCAAAACGTTGCATCTCAATGGGGACAACATCGCCACGACGGAAATATCGGCGACTTCCGCGCTTGATAAATCTGAGGGAGACACCGTGATTAAGGTTGAGGAGGATGTGAACGAAGAAGATTCATCAAGCGGAGTGGACGGGCCCAATTCTTCGTCACCTTCCGTAAAACAGGTTGAACAACAAATATCCGATGGGATTGCGCTTCGGAGAATGTCAAACTCTTTGGGAAAAGAACGAAGATGGTCTTCAGGTGATCTGGTGCAGCAACCACCTAGAATATTCATACCCGAATATTCTCTGCACGTCAGGAGACATCAATCGATGAATGGATTACGCCCTTCATCAAGTGTATTAAATTCAAGAAAATTTGACACGAAAACGCTACTCACAAGGACAATGAGTGACGATAAATCTACGAAATTGCCGCTGGGAGACAATGGCTCCATTGATACAAGCACCACTGCCACTACTGTCAACGCCACCAATTCGCAAATTATGACGAAACATGAAAAGACCACACCACCCGCACCCACATATAAGGCAATATTTTATGCGACGGACGACGATTTTCTTATGAAATCAACAGTACGACAGTATTTCAACACAAACACGATAGATCCCTTGGACTCACAATTATTCTCCATAAATATGTCGACACAAACTTCGAGCGCCACGGGAACCTTAGGTATACTAACACAAATTACAATTCCTGATAATCTGCCTCTAACAGGGGTCGTCATCAACCAAGCATACAGGGGCACATTATCACGTTCCAACGGTGAATCTCGTTGGTCGAGACCTCGTTTCAGGATGAATAAAGGAGTAAAATGGTTGGTGTTGATGTATATGATATTCGGAATTTTATTAATCAAGTTTGTGGTCAGCGCAACCTACGTTTATCTCATGGCGTTCTTGCTAATGTTATGTTTGTTTCTGGTATTTTGCGTTGGGAGTGGGGTGTGTTTTTGGGAAAGATGATCAATTTCTGATCACGAGGATGCGATAGAAAAAAAAAAAAAAAAAAAACTTAAAATTATTTGTACTGTATTTAATTAATGTATTTTTATGTATGTATATTACCATTTTATTAATTCAACAAAAAAAAAAAAAAACTTCACATCCACTCGCACCGCTTTTTTTGGTTTATTATGTGCACCTAGAAAACTAGAGAATGAATGGCAGAATGACGAATTGCTCTCCTTCACTCACGGAGGCTCATCAAATTTATCATTGATAAAATTAAAAAAATTTTGATTTATCAAGTAACAAGATTAATAAAAATTAAAATCAAGAATAATTAATACCAAATCTATTTATAGAAAAAATATGATGTGCAATGACATTGTGGAAAAGATTGGCCGAAGCCTCCTATAATAGGCAATTTGAACGAATATCGACAGAAAAACCTTGGGTCGTTACGTGATTTGATTATGTCACTTCCTAAATTATCTTTTCGCAAAAGGATTTGGAAAAATTTCTTGAGTGCGCAACTGTTGACCCCACCATTTCATCTACTCAATTCCCATATTCGAACCGATTCATACCCCGTTTTTCTTCTCAAATATACTTTACATTCTTTGAGCATAAAATTTTATAATAAAAATGAAGGATTTGTGCATGAAAAAGAAGCGAATCCATTTGATGTTAATAGCAATGGTTCAAATAACTCCAAAGAAATCCATCCACTCGAAAGGAAAATAATCTTGGATATTTCGGGACATGTTTCGTGTGGAAATAAAGGGCTACCGTCGCGAAGGCGTAAAACTGGAAATACGAATTCAATTATAGACAGAGTTCTGGCGTCTTGCGGCAATGAAGGGACAACAGCACATAAGAGAAAAAGCGTAGGTAATCGAATATTGAAAGACAGAGGAAAGGTTTTTTACGGGTATGACGACAAAGTGCACGCAGCGAGACAAGAGTTTTCAAATGATGGATGCAATTCAACATCAACGCAAGAAAAATCGAATGACAACGCGCGTAACTATGAATATGACGATGAGTCTCGTGACGAAAGAGATCACCCGGGGTTAAAGAGAAGAAAGTACACACAAGGGTACATATTCAGAGGTGGGAAAACATTTCGTCAATTTTACAAAGAAAATTACGAGAACGTTAATTGGAACCTATTGGAAGAAGGTAAAATATAAATATACTCGTCATTTCCTTGGATCGCGAATTTTACTTACACATCTGCATCATCATTCGGTTAGATTTTTTTGGCTGGCTAAAAGGCTTATGGCTTCACCGATTTTATAAACTGTTTGCTGGAATGCGCTGGCAAGAAATTATTGTACTAAGTTATGAAGATTTAGAAAAGTTGGGCGTGAAGAGGCATGCTCCCAGGAAAATTTTAATTCAAGCATTTGACAATGTGAAAAGGGCTTTGAAGGAAAAGGAACGACAAGGTCGAGATCTATATCTGCCATTTTTTTATTTATTCGGTTGTTTACTAATATTTCTTTCTTAAATAATAAATAAATAGTTGGCGAATCAATTAAAAAATGATGACAATTTTTATAAACTCATAAAATCAATGTTAAATAAAATTAATCAAAAATTCTTCTATTTGATTTTTTTGATTAGGTGACATTTAACGATGATAAAATTTATAAAAAAATAAATTCTATAAAACTAAATATACAATATATACAAGCTATATATATATATTTTGATATATCATGGGTATAGGAGTAAATTTAAATAATTAAAAATTTCAAAAAATTTTCTTTAAAAAAATATATTACACTTTCTTTATACAGTAACTTTGTAAAATTATTTTAAATTATAGATTATTATTAACAAGTTGTCAAATAGTTATCTGCTAATTACTAAATTATTAAATTAAAACTATATAAGAAAAAAAAATTAAATAAATTCAAAATATGTAAGTATATAATAAAAAAAAAAAAAAATAGAAAAAGAAAAACAATAAAATTAATTTAAAGTTCTTCTAAAAAGTTTACTATTTTTTGTGATTAAATAAAGATAAAATTTATTTAAGTTATATTCAAAAAATGATATTTTATTTTATTATTAAATATTTTTTGATTTTTATTTATTAAAATTATTTTCAATAATTTATTTTTTAAAAGATTTTTAATTAATTTAACAATTTTTTTAAAAAAATATAAAGTGTATTGATTTTTAAAATATAAATAAGTTTTTATTGATTACAATTATTTTTTATTTTTTTTATTTTATTTTTTTTTATTAAACTGGCTCATCCCATGCCTTTTCATTGTTTTATTAATAAAAGATCATATTTTGCAACAATCGTGCTGAATATTTTCCCATGTCTAACCTAACCAGGATAAGAAAAATTCATGACCGCCTAGTGTAAATACTTCTCTTTTAAAAACAAAACTGGGGACAATTGAGATACACAAATTGCGCATTGCTAACCCATCCCCATAATTCAGGAATCGACATTATCTAGAGTACACTAATGCATCCACCGATCGGCTTGTTGCCACCTACTACGGGGCCTAACATGCCAGGACTTGCACAAGAGTCCCAACACCATCTGATGTTGGGGTCCCTTGTACTAGTCTTGC